GTTGGTTATAACTAAATAAGCTGTAATAATGGTGTATTATTCATATTTACTTTCAGTTTCAGTCAGGGAAAAGGAGTTTCGCGGGAACCAGAGCAAATAAATTAGCTGCGCTTAGAGTATCGACACTCTCTTCCCCGACAGTGTTGTGAACGCCGCCATTCTGGTGCTTGTGCAGAGCAGGCGCAACTGCCGATCGTCATGATTCAAAAGTGCGACATCCTCAGCATTAGATTCGGTGTTCGGAAGCTCATGTAATGTTGCTCTGCTTTGTCGCACACTGTTTAAAGTGGAGGACGGAAGAGCGTTTCTTGTGATTTCAGATAAAGCTTCAAATAACTGGCAACCATGATTTTAAGCCACAATATGGCCAAGTGTCGCTACTCTGACGCGTAGCTTATTTAATGCATGCTCTTTTTCAAGAGGCTTGTAATACCTCGAGAGTTGGTCTACCCTTAATGGCAGACGAACCTTACGCTGTATAAATCACTAAAACGTCCAATTTAACTTTTGACTTGACGTAAGACCCGTGGATTCCACAAGTCACTACCTTTTGACACCTGCCTCTTCCTCATTGTTCCCACTTGTGCCAGTAAATTAGCTACGGTTCAGAGTAACAACACTTGGCCATATTGTGGCTTAAAATCATGGTTGCCAGTTACCTGAAGCTTTATCTAAAATCACAGGAAACGCTTTTCCGTCCCCCACAAATGTTTTAACAACCCGCGACAGAGCATTGCAATGTTGCATCAGCTTCCTAGCACCGCATCTAATGCTGAGGAAGTCGTACTTTTGGATCATGACGATCGGCAGTTGCGTTTGCTCTCAACAAGACCCAAAATGGCGGCGCCCAAAACAATTTTGGGGAACGGAGTGCCGATACTTTAAAGCTTATTTAGTGACTCTAGGCATGAAGTGAACACGGGTGTATTATTTTCCTCTTCGTCTATTGTTTATTGATTTCAATCATATCGAATAATGAACACATTATATCACGCTACGCGTGTGTAATTATTTGTCTCGATTTATTACCCTGACCCAGTACTTAAACCCTTCATTTATCGATAGTAAATCTTCCAATATATTTTTTAAATGTGAAGGTAAAAAGACACGGAGATTGATGATGATACAGACGCCAACGCCGCCCTCGGAAATTTTTTGAACACTAGAAATCAGCAGTTTGTCTGCCATCCGCCAGGTAGCGCAACGAAACACCCAAACCGTTTTTAATTGTTTTTAAAATTAGCTAAGCTCTACACCTATTAAGAAACCAACGCAAGATAATTGTGAAAATTTAATACATCGCAATATATATCTATTCCAAACAATAAATGTTGTTAGATGCCAATAAATCTGTTTGATGTCCAAAAAAGATATGCGTCAAAAACAGGTAAGTTTGAAGGGCTCCTGGAGCGTTATGACTTTGAAAATGAAAAAAAAGCCATCGTCCACCTCTTGGGCAACCATTGTAGCTCTAAATGTTATAAAAGATTTTATCATAGTTTAATTATTTCCTCAGCGGCATTTGAAGTACCATGACTCGAAGCACAAAAAAGTGCTACGTTTGATATAAAATATCTAAACAAAAAAATTTTACACAACATTAAATTTTTTTCTGCATATTACCAATTATAAGCACTACATCTGTAGCTAATTTCATTGCCCTAGCGCTTGTCATTAAAAACATATTTGTGCTGAAAAATGTCAATTTTAGGGCAATATTTGGAGGGATGAAAAAAACAAAGTAGTGCAAATGCCAAAAAAAGTGTATCGTTACATTCTGCTCCAACATCATCTTAACAAAACTGCTATGTTGGAACCGTGCTATCTTTAATGGATCGTTCATAAAACATGAACTAGCGAAGGAAGTGAGGGTCCGCGCCGTCATATTCGCAACGCTACAAACGCGCATGAACAGTAAAAACCAACACATACATAATATCAAATGAAAGAGGATCGCATTGCCTTTCGAAAGACATCAATCCCACAAAACAGTATTTAAAAGGAGCTGAGTAATGACCTGCCAAAAAGTACCTAAACTGCCACATTCAGTGGGACCGTGGCCTTAATGAGTTATTGTGACGTTCCCAAGGATTGTAATTTCTTGGATATCCATAGTACGCAAATCATTTACAATTTTGATCCTTCATTCAAAACCTTTTTTTTCCACGGAACGACTCAGAAAGATGGCCATGCTGCGTAATATAAAAAAAAAAAAAGATACTGAGCTATAGAGAGTGCGACACAGCAATAGAAGGAACATGCCGATCCCCGGGTTTTTAGTTTTTATCTCGTATCTGAGAGACGTGCATTGGAAATAGTAGTGTGGCGGAAGTGCTCGTGCTGCCTTATCTATGCTAACGTCGAGCAGTGTACAATTCAAAAACATCCCCGTGCGCCTACTTTTCCGCAGAGCACTCGGAGAGCCGGTCATTCATATCAAGCTGGAGGGAGCTTAGAATGCGGGGTCGAAGAAGAGTTTTCACCAAAGTCTGCGATATAACACTGTGCATGACGTTTTCCTTGTGAACGTCGAATGTCAAGCTCAGTGTCTTATTATACGTTCAATCTTTAAGGTCGTAACGCTGCTTTTAACTTCGAAGTTCACCTGGCTACCTGCGCTTATATCACAATAATAGGGTCTTTAAGTGCGGGGAAATAGACGTACGGATATTTTGGAGTGTGTTTAGCCGTCTTCCAGTTGTCCCTGCAAGTGTTGTGCGGTAATCAATCAATCTATGATTGGCACTGCTTTAGGGCCTGGTCTGTATCGCGACTTTGATCACCGTTCTATTCTCGATCGCGCCGGATTTTCCCAGGTGGAGAACATCGTGCGTCCTCTGGTCCTCTCCGCGCACACCATCTGCAAAATCCGGGATGTGTTCCTGTCAGAAATCCAGCTGGGCCTCGAGAAGAATCCCAAGCGGCAGTCGTCGCTGCAGATGGAAAACACCTACCTGCCGGAGCTGCCGGACGGAACAGGTAGGCGCGCTCGAAGCCTATACTTTTCACGTAAGGATATCTGTATGCCTCAAATTATGGTGCCTGCAACGCTCGCCCAATCAGCGTGTTTGGCTGCTTTTTTTTTTTTTTTTTTTTACCGTTTTTGCGTACAGCTACGGCGCAATAAACGCGTCTTTGAATGGTTGTGTTTAGTGTCCGATCCCGCCCATGTATCGAAAGTTGTCCCGAAGGGGAAACAAATGACGTCAGAGAAGCCGGCCTGTCATGTTGTTGGATGTCGCGATCCTGGCGGTTGGTGGTAGAGGTTCCGGCAAAAAGTACAAGCGAACGCTAGTGTCGCTGTCGCCGTGGCGTCCCAACGCCTAGCTGCTGGAGCTTCCGTGGTCTGCCAAGCTGGAAAGCGATCTGCAGTAGAATAGACGTCTAGCATATACACCTCCGCTGCTCCCACACCGCCAAGATCGCAGCAGGCAACATGACACTTTTATGGCGCCCTCCAACGGAATCCGAGGGGCCACATTTGAGAACACGAACTCCAAGCTTCATAATAGGAAAGTTTAATAGAAAGTTCCGACAACTCCGCTTGTGTCGTATGGTTATCGAGTATCGTTATCGGAGGCATTGAAACGATTTAGTAAAACTATCTAATACAACGAAGCGTCCTCGAAACGGAGACGATATACGTCTCGACAGCTGTTGGATATAGTGATAAGCGTTGTCGCGATCAACTGTTCGTTATGCTCCTGTTGACTGGCAGGTTGCAAAGCAAGCCACATCAGAACAGGTGTCTTGTGTATGCACTTCCGCTGCATGTGCCACTACCGGGATTACGGTGAACTGCAGAATTACGAAATTGTAGCGTCGTTAACCGGAAATGGAGGAGATCGAATAAAAACGCGGTAAGCAAGTTAGTTGAAAACTGTACGCCTTCCAAGCATAATATTCGAATTACGGGCTTGGCGGTCACCGCTGTTTCCAAAATGTTAGCTACTCCAGATACACTCTTTTGTGACTTACTTTCACAATCTCACGTTTGCACTACAAACTGCTGAGTGTGTTTTTGTTATGCGCTCACGAATTAACTGCCGTAAACATTTTGGCGGCTTGGTGCTGTGTTTTTTTAGTAGTTTTGAGGTTTTCCGCCAAAACACAAGTTAATGCACACAAAAAAAGGAAGAAAGAAACTGTGCGTTTGTGTGTGTGTGTGTGGGGGGGGGGGGGAGGTGGTGATCTAGTGTGTTCGCGCACCGCACTACGAAGCCCGTAAAGCGAAAGCTCCCAGGGTCCGATCCCCACACCGCCCGTTTCGATCTGGATGAGCTCTCAGTTTAAAAAGCACTGCATGTCCTACCTTTAAAACTCCATGCATGCATAGCCCCCCTACTGCACTGGCTAAATTGCCCATCCGTACCGAAGACAGCGAAAGCAATATCAAGGCCTTGCTGCCTAAACATCCATTCAACAAAAGTTATTTTTTTCTTCTAATTTCGGCAGTATCCTCAGCGCCTGGTGACCGAGAGAGGAAGCTGTGAGAATGAACAACTATAGAAATAGAAAACGTTTATCAGAGGTCTGCAATATTTAGGATTTTCGTATGGTGAAAGGTCGCCGGGACTAGAAGGAATCCATCTCAGTATACGACAGTTGTTGTTGCTCCCTGTTTCGCACTGCACGTAACTCAGCACTTAAAATTTGATTATGACTCCTGCTACTGCTACAAGACCTCCTCGAGTGTGAACGAACTTCGTCCACGTTCTCCAGAGAAAGGCGAGTTCCTGGCCCTGGACCTCGGGGGCACCAACTTCCGGGTGCTGCACCTGCAGCTGGACCCGGACGGCGAGCAGCGCTTCCACGTCAAGTACTACTCGGTGCCCGAACCCGTGCGCCTCGGGCCCGGAGAGAAGGTCGGTGCGAGCTCGGCAGTCACGTCTCTTTCTTGCGCCGCACCGCATGGGACGGAAGTGTCACGAGAATACTAGGCTTCGCTGAATATAAACTATGGCGCGCAGTTACTCGCGGAATTATGTTTACTCACGAACAAGGGGATTCAACTCAACTGGGCACGGAAGAATCACGTGAAGCATCTAGAGTTTACACCATGCCTTTTCTAAAGTAACATAACTTTACTTTAAAAAAAAAGAAGAAATATATATATATATATATATATATATATATATATATATATATATATATATATATATATATATATATATATATATATATAATTTGAGACAGTGAGACCGCATGGAATAATGTGGCGATGCAGGCGAGTTGGTTATGCATGTTGAAAGTAGTGAAAGCGCACAATAAAGACGAATACGAAGACGGAGAGGCAAACAGGACGAGCGCTGACTATCAACGGAATTTTTTATTGGAAAATAGAAGAGAAGTGACCCTGGTTTTATCTCCTTTTTATTTTCTTCAGAGTATGCACGGAGCAAGTGGTTAATTCTGAACTGGTGCTGGAGACATATGGTTCGCTGTAGCAGAGACCAATATTAGCCCTTATATACTAAGGAGCTTGAACCTCTTTGATTGAACTATGTTAAGAAAAAATATTGTGTTCAATAATGCTACGCTTCTCCGCGCCCTCTTCCACGGAACTTACGCAGCCGACGCATCTTAGGTGCACCTTTTTCTTCTCCCTGGGCGTGTAAGAAACTGCCTCTTTTGCGGGTCGGCAGAGGCTGACAACAATCGCTTATGTTCCGCTCTTGTCAAGCGGAACAAAGCTTGGCCTTCTGTGCGGTTCTATACCGTCGATTCTTCCGTGAGACGGTACATTTTATGTGGGATTCGTTTTCTTTTTTTTTTTGTCTGGTAATGACACATAGCCGGAAGTGTTACGCCCAAAGAGGACATAACATGAAAACAACATCATTAGAATATATAGGCTGTTAAATTACCTCCTTCAATTAGCACTTTTCGAAACTCGGCGACTCTTTTGGTATATATTCAATCCACATATAACGATGTTGAAATAACCTGAGACTGGGGTAGAGAAGAAGCATCAAAGCGTAGAAGGGACAGAAAATAGACAGAACGACGTCTCAAATTGAGACGTCTTCCTGTCTATTTTCTGTCCCTTCTACGCTTTGATGCTTCTTCTCTACCCCAGTCTCAGGTTATTTCAACATGGTTAATATTCACCAGCTCGCCTGCACCCTTACGATTTTTACATATAACGAGTTTTGTTCAGCGTTATGGCAGACACGGGTGCCAACGCGTTACCTTATAGCGCATTTCTGTTGCACGATCGTTAATCCAAATAGAGCGTCTTCCAGAGCAACGGCGTCAGGCCTGTTCAATGCACACGACTTGTGAGGCACTTCCACCGTTGCTTGGCATGCACCCCTCTTCATTACAGTGCAGAAAAATTGAAGAGTGCGTGTGAGCAGTTGTAATGGCGCTCAAGGTGTTGGAGCGCACGAGTGTCAACAACTTGGCAGTTATGCTTAGCAAAGTTTTGACCCTCATAACTTCGTAATTTCTTAAAATGTTTATATTGACGCGTTCACTGTGTGTGCATAACTGAAACAAACTTGAACAAAGAAGTTTGAAAGAGGACTAGCAGGTCTCCTAGCCGCTGTAAATGTAAACATCCACATAAAAAAAAGAAAAAAAAAAGCTTGAAGGGATCTTTAAGGCGCGGAAAAATATAACGAATAAATATACTGGACATAGAAACATTCTCCTAAAGAGACTTTGGTAGTTCTCTCGGCATTCCTTAAGATTCTGTTGCCATGTAGTTTTAAAATTGGCAGGGTGATACTGCCGCGTGTATGACCGAGAGGCGTCCATGCAGGCGTCCGGGGTTCGATGCCCGGTCCTTGAGATAACGTTTATCACTTGATTCTACTTCATCTTTCTATAAATTTCGAGTTCAGTCTTGACGCTCGAACATTCAAGGCCTATATTCCAGATAACCTAGTGTCAGCTCAAGTCAGCTGACACGCCGATACCTCGACGCTCGCCTCTGTTATCTCGACGCTCGTTCTTTCTTTTGTTCCTTGACGCAAGTTTGCCACGTTAAACGTTTAATTTCTTTCTTTATTCATCGTCCCCCTGCCTGGCACTCGTGACAGTATATGATATCATGCTATACACTCGTAACCGTGCGTGCGAAAATGTTAATAAAGCGCATCTTTATGTCTGCTCTCTTTGGCAGCTGTTCGATTTCCTGGCAGACTGCATCCACGATTTTATGGTGACCAATGACCTCCTGGGGAAGACGTTGCCTCTAGGTCAGTTTCTTTTCTTTCTCTCTTTCTTTATATATTGCAAAACGAAGGCCGTGATTATTTCAGGCTTATCATCGCAGAGAACAATCCGGACAGATACAGACATTATATATGTCATGTCAAATTAGATTTTATGCCATATAGCCAATACATGCTCTGGTAACGCAGGGCCTCGTACCCTAGAAATAAATGTAATAAAGGTTTGACAAACGTACGATGGGCCTTAGGCAAACTAAAACGCAAGTACCTCATGATGATTGCATGTAAGCAGAAAGCTCTGTGCATCGTAAAACGCGCCGAAGATCTCACTCTAAAAAAAGCCCGTGGGACTACTTTCCCGCACCACACTCGGATAGCCAATCAGCGGAATTTACGGAGGCAACTGAGCGAATGACGATGCGGACACATATGTTTAGAACAAAAAATGCAGTCTGAGTTGTGACATTAAGCAATGCAAAACGTCACGCTTGCATTGCTTAATGTCACAACTCAGTCTGCGTTTTTAGGGGCAAAACTCCTTAGGGGCTAGCCATGTCCGTATGTCCGTCCGCCGTCCGGCGTGCCCCTGCTCGTGAGTTCAGCAGCGAGAGCAAGAAAAAAAATTCAAAAAACGTCCGGCGCGCCCCTGCTCGTGAGTTTAGCAGCGAGAGCAAAACAAAAAAAAAAAAAAAAAAAAAAAAAAAAAAAAAAAAGATGAAAAAGAAATAGCAAAAAAAAAAGAAAAAAAAAGGGGGGGCTCTGAGATGCCATCCCACCCCACGTTAATCCCACCTGTCTTCTTAAAAAAAGAAAAAGAAGAAAACCACACATTATTCTACTGGCATGATTGAAAGCGGCACCATCAGCACTACCTATGACCAAAATCAGTATCAAGAAAAAGAAAAAAAAAAAAAAAGAGTAGGGGGTTCTGAGTTGCCATCCCATCTGACTTCTTAAAAAAAAGAAAAAGAAGAAAACCACACATTCTTCTACTGACATGACTGAAAACGGCACCATCAGCACTACCTATGATCAAAATCAGTATCATAAGCACCACCCGAGCTTCGCCCCAATCAACATCATTCACCACGTGGAGATGCGGTAATTTTTTTTGTCTAGCCATATGTTTCGGCATCGTCATTCGCTCAGTTGCCTCCGTAAGTTGCGCTGATTTGCTATCCGAGTGTCGTGCGGGAAAGTAGTCCCACGGGTTTTCTTTAGAGTGTATATAAATTGTTTTAATTATTTATTTCTAAAGTAATTCATAGAAAGGCATTACATAAAAAGGGGGGGGGGGGGGCGTAGTGTGTTGATACTATTTACAAGCATTGACAATGATTGCAAACAAACATAGAAATATGCTAAATATAATATTAAAACAGACTAAACATACATGTAGTGCCATTAAAAATGAAATTCAGAGCTCAAGGTCAGAGGGAAACCAAAAATCTATATGTAACCCAGCGGAATTGTAGATAGTTTTTGTTTTTCTTTGATATTTGAAGGATATCTATGCAATATATCGAACAAAATAGAAGTATCGCAGCTCATTAATATTTTGTGAATTATTACGAAATGTGTTTAGTCCTGGTATTCGGCGCACCCGAGACGTTTCCCAAATCGCACATTAATCTCTGGCTAAGTCGTTCCCTTGCCTTTAAACGATAAAAAATGAAGAAATACATATTTATAATTTTTGAACAATGTTCGCACATACGGTATGTCAGAAGGCTAAATAGACCCGACTACATCCTTCCAGAAACAATGGTCACCTGTTACCAAAACAAACAAACAAAAAAACATTGTATCACTATCGCGATGATCAACCAACTGATAGTCGATCAATAAAGCAATCAAATTATATTCATTTAGTCGCAGTTCTTCCATGTGCAATACCCTATTCTAAGCATTCCAAGCTACCTTTTCTACTCTCGAATATCACCAGCAATCATCTAGAAGGCAATCGCCGCCTCATTACCCTATACTTAGTTCATCCCTGAGCTGAAACTACGGCGGGAGCTATGCTTTCGCCGGACCATTCAACCGCCTGACCCAGCTCTCCGCGCCAGATAGTGGGCGAAAGCGTGACCATCTGGGGAAGGACCGACGTATGACTTATCCAACACACTCGCGGCTTTCATCGCAGTCTCAGCTTAGGGGTGAACGGAGTCATAAACAAAGCCCGAGGAAACAAAGAAAATGGAGTAGGTTCGCAAAGATGCAAAGGCGTCACTTTGGAGAGTCACCAGGTCTCTCGTGAATTGAATGTCTCTTTTTATCCAGGTTGGTATACTAAACGTCGAGCAAAACTATGCTAGGTTACGTATGCCTTGTTTGGTTAACGTTGTTAGGTCAACGTTTTGTTAAGAGACAATTCCCAGTTCTCCATCAGTTCCTTGGAACAGTCGAATGACATGTGGCACTCAAACCGAAGGCATCGTTCGAGAGACGCATTTGCTTTGGCCGTCCGCCGCGCAGGTTTCTGCTTCTCGTTCCCGATGATCCAGAAGGCGCTCAACGTCGGAATCCTGGTCACGTGGACCAAGAGCTTCAACTGCAGCGGGGTTGTGGGTCAAGACGCCGTCCAGATGCTCAAAGACGCCATCGACAGGCGAGGGGTCAGTTGACAACCGTGTAGGCACGTGCTCGATTACGATGTATGGGATGTGTCCGAGTTGCCTGAATATGATAAAATGAATAATGTTAAAACAAATTATTAAGCCCACTAGTAGGGTACGTTGTTGGGCTAGTTAGGTCATCTTAGTTAAACATATAAAAATAGCGCAAAAAAGAAGAGGGCAAGGAGTAAACAGGACAAGCGCCTGTCCCGTTTACTTCTTGCCCTTGTCTTTTTTGCGCTATTTTATATGTTTAACTATTAAGCCTGCGGACAGATATATGTATAAATGTCCCGGTCCTCGTCGTTTGTGTTTTGTCAATTTCTTAGCGTTGTTCAATAACACGCGCCGTCCATCTCGCCGTGTTCATGTATTTCACCGCACAAGCTAGGCAATGGTAGGCTGAAATCTTTTTTTTTTTTTCTCGAGTGATACATACGGTGTGTGAATATCCCCACGTGATGTATTCCTTGTTTGTGACGATAAGTTATGCGCTGACTCGCTGCCAGGAGATGGACATCGACATCGTCGCCGTTGTCAACGACACCACGGGTACCCTGGTCAAGGGAGCTTTCCTGGACCACAACTGCGCCATCGGACTCATCCTGGGTAAGCGACTATACTCGTCACATCAAGAAAGAAGGAAGTTTGGCGCATCCTTCATGCGATAAGTGAAATAGTTCGAACAACATTTGGTTGTTGGAAGAAGAAACGCTGTGCTATTGGCGTTTGAAACGTGTAGATGTTGATAAAATGCCATAAAACTAATCTGGGATCCACCCACATATATCTGAATTCAAATCACCGGGGCGATGCTAGTAACGTTCCACGATGAGCCGGACTTTGTTTTACTGCGGACGGTACTGTGGCTACACGAGATAGTCACAGTAGCGTTCGAAACATTTTGCTGAAAATAAATTTGGAGCGTGATCCCGTATGAAAAGAAAAGGAAGGAAAAACAAGAGGCGAGCAACACGCATGACGAGGGCAAAAAACAAACAAACAAACAAAAACTTTGTATGTTTTGTGAGAACATACGCCAAAAAAAAAAAAATAAAACGGTGAATAAACCAGAAAGAAAGCAAAAAGGCCAAAAAAAAAATGCAGATGAGACCGACAGGGAAGCGCAAACTCCCAACTGTTCGTTTCACCCACCGTGCTGCGTATCGCCAAGGGCGATGTCGGAAAAGCGATAAAAGGGTGACAGAACAATGGAAAGCAATTGCATCTATCGCACGTACCTGAAAGATAGCACAATCGCAGAACCTATGCATGGGTTGCACTGTCTGTGTCAGTAAAAGTGCTTTCGGGTTTTTACATTCGCTATACTCTGTTTCATACTTAGCGTGCAACGCTGTCAAAGCTACTGACGCGAGCGTGGGGCTTGATATCGTTGATTATTTGCACGCGTTCTCGCGTAAGCAAAAGCATAGATGAAGCCACGCGCTCGTGCCAGTAGCTTTGACAGCGTTGCACGCTCTACTCTATCTCAGGAGTTGTGTGCAGCAAATGCAAAGGCATAGACGCGGGCACATGGCTTTCAGATTTACTTTCTTTTCGCGTGTGCTTGTGAAAAAAAGCACATCTAAGAGCCGCGCAAACAGAGTATAAGGAGTATTCATTGGGCGCCATATTTGTGAGTGCTGTCTAGAGCGCATGCCCAGAACGAGCCCACATTAATAGGCTGCTAAGACCGGCAATCTTGAGGGTGCGGAATGCACGTTACAAAAAAAACTGTGGAAGCTCGCCATCAGCACGCGCTCAGCAGTCGCGCACACAGCTATGGTCGCCAGTGAATACTTGAAGGCCGCACACACCGGACTGCTGCGTAAAACGTACTTACGTGGAGCGAGCGCTCGCGCTAAAGGGACACGTTTGATGGCAAGACGCACGCGGTCTCGCTTGCGTTTGTAATCTTCGCTGCCCTTCTCGGCTTAGTATATTAAAATGCAATATACCACTGCGACTATACTCCGTGGACTACTGAAATGACGCTCAGCTGAAGTTGACGGTGCCCTGGCTCGAAGCGACTCCCCGCATCTCGTTTTGTTTTTTTACATGCAAGTGAACTACTTGACAAACAGCGAACGCTATGGCCCCCTTTAGCCAATCAGATTGACGAAGCAAAGCACGTGACGGCTTTGTGCAGGTTTGCACTTGAAGGATACGTTGTGACGTAACCGTTTCCAACACTGATCGAGTCGCCGGTGCCGCGTTCGCTGTCTGCCAAGTCACGGTAAAACGGAGTATAGCGTTGCACGCGCTGTTAGCCCTCTCGAGACACGATTTGCTCCTCGCATTCTACAATCCCCACATGGACATTCCAGGAACCGGCAGCAACGCGTGCTACCTTGAGAAGATCGAGAAGATCGAGAAATGGGAAGGCGACAAGACGGGAATTCACGAGGTAGGTACCGGGCGCTCCTCTTTGTGCCAGTATGCGGAGTGCAAGTTCGTCTGCTTCGTTTGCAGGGGCTCTGGTGACGTCAAAACGCCGAGCTGTGATTGGCTCCGATTGGAAGGATAGTGGGTAGACCTCAAGGCAGCCTGCTTTGAGGTCCACCCACTATCCTTCAATCAGAACCAATCAGAGCACGGCGTCGCTCTGACGTCACCGCAACTCCTGTGCAAAAAGCAGACGATTTGCTCTCCGCATACCCTGGCTGGAACGCATCTCCGACCAGTGTGTTTAGCGTCCTATTCCTTCCGCCCATGCACCAAAACTGGTCCCAAAGTGGCAAAAAATGGCGTCACAAAAACTGGAGTGTCATGCTGTCGGATGTCGCGATCTTGGCGGGGGTCCGTACGAGTTCTGAAAAGAAAAGAACGAGAGAACGCGAGTGTCGCCCTCGTCGCGGCGTCTCATGCTCCCGTGGTTGCCGAAGCGACCTGCAGCAGAAGAGGCGTTTGCCACATACATACATACATACAAACTGCTGTAACGCCGCCTGAATCGCGGACGGCGACAACGTGACACTTGAAAGACGTCGTCAGGCGGAAATCGAGGACCATAGTGGAGGTCCGGTCTGGGTGTTCAACAGCCCGCGCTGCTCGTGAGGTCTTGTTATCGGCACGTGCATTTACTTTTACTCGTCTATTCCTGGCGCGACACCAAGGTCATGATAAGATCTGAATGGACGAAGGGCTTCGGTCTCTTTCTTTGCGCGCGGTTATTATCGGGTTATTGTCTACCATTTTGTTTTTCCCCCCAGTTTGAAATCTGTGGCAGTGTGGTTCGGGAAGGGACCTGCGGAAGCTTTGGGCGCCCATACGCTCGCGTATGTTTAGCGCCGGTTATTTCTCCAAGCTCCAAATGCTTAAGCTAACGAACACAAAAAAAAAATACACAACATGAATTTTGTATCTGGTGAGATCAGACGGTGGCGTAGAGGTATACATGGTGTTCATCATAAAGTAATGTATGTATCTATGGTTTAATATTTAATTAGTTCACGATGATTTAAGGTAAGAAAAAAAAAGGTGGAAAATTACTGATGAGGGGCGGGGCGCTTTTTCGAAATACATGCAAATAGGATAAATGCCAGTGGACAAAAACGTAAAGGAAGGTGTCGCTCCCTTTGCCCAGGTGGTCATCGACGTCGAGTGGGGCGCCTTCGGGGACAACGGCGTGCTCAACTTCATCAAGACCGAGTTCGATAGAGCCGTGGACGACAACTCGCTGCTCGTCAACTCCTTCACGTGAGCCTCGAACGTTGGATTTCGCTGAACCAGTTACAACTTGTCCCCCTCACTGGCGGTCATAGCTGGGTTCGCTGCTGCTCTGTATCTACCGCTGACGGCGAGCTTCCAACACGCTTCTGCAAAGCGTGCATCTTGCGCCATCGAAAGTTTTCATCTTGACACAGACGATAAGCGAAAGCTCGCTCCGAGCATGCCCCGTGAAAAACAAAGTCAGCTTTGGTGGTTAGAGAATACCACCCTACGTAATGGCCGCTTAGTCGGTTGGTGCTTTTCTCGGAGTGAAGAAAATGCATTTTTTTCTCCTTTTTTTTTTTTGCAATAATGTTTACTATACTTCGTTTCCCTTCAATCCCGACCGCAATTATCCGACGCTAAGATTTGATGGAGCAAATCAAACAGACCCAAAAGTGCATCGTCGCGAAGTCCATTGTATTTGTGAGTTTTTTTTAGTTTTTTTTTTTTATTGCCGGATTGAACCAATCACGCAGAGAAACAAGGTGCAGGATCGCGGCGCATTCACTGTGCGTGATTGGTTTAGTTGGTGATAAAAGATGCGCAGAAGTGATGAGCGTTGTGATGGTGCACATTTTGTGCCGCTTGATTGGCTTAGCCGTATTGTGGCGTTGGTTTGGATTAGACTAATTGAAAAAAAAAAAAAGTATAGAAATGCTTGAAATGACTGGGGTGGGCCATTGTCTTGCCCTCCCCCCCCCCCCCCCCCCTCCTCTTCCCCCTTATCTGCTCCGACACCACTGCATAGCTTGCATCAACGTGGTCTGATTTCCCACGCGCTGCGAGCATTACCTCCACCGTGTTAAGCAGAGTAAATGGTTGGGCCAGATTCATATCGATGTTTAGAAAAAGTCCTGTTTTCTTCGACTTGCCCTGTCCTCGTCTCTTTCGACAATTTTCCTACGCATTATACCGTGGTAAGTTTGCACGGTTCAAATTAGCAGACTGAGAGCAAAAATGACCGCGAATTCCGCCCATGGCTGGCCGCCTACCCCCTGGCGCAGGTTCGAGAAGCTCTTCTCGGGCAAGTTCATGGGCGAGCTGGTGAGGAATGTCCTGGTGAAGCTGATCCGCGAGAAAGTGCTTTTCGACGGAAGGGCGTCCGAGACCATCCTCACTCAGAGAAGCTTCACCACGGCCGACGTGTCTCAACTCGAAGGGTGAGCGGACATTATGGTCCGCATTCCAGACGCTTTTCTGTAACAAACGTTGCTGGTCAACTCGGCTGGCAAAATTCCAGCGAAGAAACAACTCGCCACCCCCCTTCCTCTTCGCACGATGTTTGTCACCAATTGACTGAAGCGCTACTTTTCTTATACGTAACGGCAGTTTAGAGAGAAACCGTAGCGTGCAAAAGAGTGGGGTGCTTCGATCAAGTGGTAACAGGTATCGGAGAGATGGGAGCTTGCCGTCTAACCGCATGTAGCCACGCTGCTTGCAACTTGCTACCTTGCCCTAACCTAACATTTGATTTCATGTGTGTGTCGGCAGAGCCAAAGATTTTGTGTGATATATGTGCATATCGACAAGATGCCGCACCGAGGTAACCCGATTATTAAAACAATATCTGATAGCTTTAAGACTTCTGAGGTATATGTCTACGGCTATATTACATAGAGTGCCATTGCTAAATTCGCCTCCCCCCCCCCCCCCCTTCCCCGTTTACAAAAGTATTGGGCCTAAATCACGTCTTCGGCTGGCTTACTTAACGTCACTCACCGCCCATTGAATGGTCCCCGAAACAACAAAAAGAAACATCACAGAAGCCACCAGGGAATGATATGGTTGTCGGGATACTATCAGTTAATTGTAAAAGCGAAAGCGTGGCAGATGAACGGGTAGCAGTGTCAATAATGTCGTTTAGTAAGTGCCATGCGGCACTTACTAAACGGCGTGTACTTTGAATGTCATTTGGCGTAAACGTCATTTTGGGTGCCCGTTTGACGGAGGTATTTGTTTGCGTCGACTGTCCGGCTGCCCATCACGCTAGGACAGAACAAGCTACTACCGTGCACAGGTGACACGAGGCACATGTATAAACTTGGATTTTCCTTTTACCTAATACACACTCGCTCGCTCACTATACCGTATAACAGCCTCAAGGTCGTCGGAGCGCAAAGCTCTCCTCTGGCCGTTTCAAGTGCTGAGCCGCCCACAAGATGGAACGTGATTACTTTGATTTTTCGATAATCCGGGAGGTACTGATGACTATCGAGAGAAAGCATCGCCCGCTGAGGGCCGTGAATTCGTGGATCACACCTTCAGCGCCCGAGCTCCCTGCAGGCAACGCACACCACCACGCGAAGGCGATCCTTGCGAGCTAGTTTCTATAGACTACGATGCCACAAAAATTAGTTTAATGTACAGCGCCGAAAACCTGATATCGGGAAAGGCTGGGGCTTATCCAGAGACCTCCTGCTAATGCGACTAATGCTTTACCACCGCCTTTTTGTTTTGTTTTTCTGCAACTAACTTTTAAAGTTTTATTCTTCCAGACGTACGCTGGAAGGGTCTCCCAGACAAAAAGCTGCTAAAAACAGCTTGATGGGGTCTGGGAGACCGTTGCATGGGCCGCAGCTTTAACAACAAACAGTAAAAGCGTGTAGTCTTCTGAGAAGGCGTAATAACATAACTCTCTACGTACGGGAACGGTACAGGTCGAGAGCCGACACGGCCTCCTCGAAGGCCGACACGGCCTCCTCGGGGGCAGCTACAGGAGCAGCCGCTCGCGCTGACAACAAACCAGAGTGAGCAGTCTCGCCACGGAAACACTGACTTTTTTTTTGTCGATTTATTTCCCTAAATGCCCAGGAAAGCGATTTTGCAAATATAATAATCCTGTTCAATCATGCAGCATCAAACCCCCCTCCTCGGACACCACTATAGAGCATGAAGCTTAAGCCGGATAGGAAGTCGTCGGAGGACTGTCCATTGTACCGACTCAGAAGTCTGGTCGCAGGCGGGCCAAATTATTCGGCAACTTTGGAACTGATGTCATCCTCCGTCGAAAGTAAAAGCACCCAAGCGCGAACAAAAGAAAAAATATGGGCTCGATTTGCTGGCCGACGGTGCTTCCCGAGAGATGGGCACCCACCTGCTAGCACCAGGCATGACGGATCGGTCGCCGATCGTAAAAGTAGTCAAAGCTGCTCACTTATGATAACGTCTAATCGACAACATCCACGCAAAACATTTGACTAATGGTATAATAAAATGAGAGAGCGCAATGAAGAAGTGTTACGAGCAAAAAGGATAGCGCTTGTCCTTCCTACTCTTTGTACCATCGCTTATTGTGCTGTTCGCTAGAACAACGGGGACTTCAGATTCGATTGTTTCGCGTGGATCAGTAATGTTGTTATTACTACATCCCTCGCTTGACAGCTCTCTTGAGACTCCAAGCGTCCGCTCGACCGCATCACCATGTTTTATTATTTTGTTTTTCTTGTCGCGATAGCGACGACGGAGAAGGACGTGCCCGGGAGGTCTTGGCCCGCATGGGCTACATCCGAGTCACGGAGGAAGACATCGCCATCGTCAGACACGTCTGCGGCGTGGTATCTGCCAGGGCAGCGCTGCTCGTCTCCATCTGTGAGTTACAACCCGTGCTCGTAACCTCGCGCCCGTGGTTTGACTGCGCGTTTCCGCAGGCCTCGCTGAATTGCTGAACCGCATGGACAAGCCGAACGTGACTGTCGCCATCGACGGCTCGCTGTACAAGCACCATCCCAAGTTCCATCGCCTCATGACTGACTACACGACCGTCCTCGCCCCTAAGAAACCGGTGAGTGCGCTGCCGATGGATGAAGCCACCAAGATAACACGAGGCCTACCCAAAGCCTGATACATTATACATTATACAAATACGGTATGCAGACAGTGTTTTAAGCCTCCCTTGTATGACCGCCCTCTCACATTGACCACACAAGAACTCTCTGCGGACAGGTTCGATGCATGTATAAAGTGAGCATGATTAAGGCGTGTACGCAGATAATTTTGTAATCATGTCTGCAGCCAACATCGTGTCTTTTGTATGATTTACGAGCAGTGTGATTGAGGCTTAATATTCCTAATGCTCCATACACTAGGAGAATCGGTTGCTGAACGTGTTAACGCGCAATAGCTCGCAGCCGATAACCTGGGTAAAAGAAAGAAGGACGGAAAACTCTTTCAAAATTGTGCGCGTGTTTCTTATTTGTTTTTTACGTGCTTGCTTATTTTTGCTCGTTACGCACATAAACTTTTATTATATTTGCACTCGTGTACCCGCTGCACCAGCATCATGTCCAACGGCGCAGCAGGCATAGATGTAAATAAGTAAATGTACGCAGATTTCGGGCAAAACTGAGAAAGACCCGGATGAGCTCGCTAGATGCGTGCGCTGCTCGAGATATTTGCGTTGTCTTAATTTCTTTTATTTTCGCAAAGCTTTTTTTTAATACTTTTCTAGGTTTGATTTACAAACGAGTACCCTATCATTGGGGCAGATGATAGCTCGAATAAATATTGTACTAATCACGTTTTCTCATTTCGCCCCATTCTATTTGAACATTCTCGTTTGAACCTTATCAAAACATCCAAACAGTCTTTTTTTTTCGCGTTTGGGCGTATTTGTATTTTATCCCATTCTCATTTTATCTCGTTCGCACTACGACCGAATGGCATGTAGTTCTCAGTCTTGCATTGACTCCGATGGCTCGTAGCGTACCTACGGAAGCGACCCGTGGGGCCGAAAACTCGCGACATGTCAAGTCTTTGGTCTTGTGGTCTTGTGCTTACTATTGGTCAGAGCCGCTAAAAGCTTGTTTTTCGTCGAAATACAAAATATACATGGCGCGAACCGTTTCAGCTATTTATGAAAGTAGTTTTTGTTCAGTATTTTAGATCAGAAAAGAAACAAATGCAGTTTATAAAGTTAAAAAACAAGAAATGACCCGTCGACATACCCGCCACAAAGCGGTGAAAAAAGCGGCGCATACTAGAAGGGTATAGCGGGATCACGCACCGACGAGGCGGCGAGCGTAGAAAGGTTCCGGATCTACGCGGCGGCGCTGCGGTCGTATACGGGCTCGAGGATCCGACCGGTTCCGAGCGTTCTGAAAGCCTTCGGCGAGCAGGTTTGGCTAAAGGTTTGGCCTAGAGCCACTAAATGAGCTGCGCTTAAAGTATCGGCACTCCGTTCCCCGACATTGTTGTGGGCGCCGCCATTTTGGTGCTTGTGCAGAGCAGACGCAACTGCCGATCGTCATGATTCAAAAGCGCGACTTCCTCAGTATTAGATTCGGTGTTAGGAGGCTCATGTAATATTTCTTTGCTTTGTCGCGAACTGTATAAACATTTGTGGAGGAAGGAAAAGCGTTTTCGCTAATGTTAGATAAACCTTTAGATAACTGGCAACCATGATTTTAAGCCACAATATGGCCAAGTGTCGTTACTCTGAAGCGTAGCTTATTTAGTGGTACTATAGTTAGGCCGTTTGGCGGTATGGCAGCGCGAAGTGGCTCCCGTTCTGAACTGATTTTTACCAGGTGTTTGCTGTCGTTTGTGGCCAATAAAGTGTCATGCCGAATTAGTGTTTAATCGCTCAGCAAATGCGATTCGAGCCGCCCTGGCTGCCCGCTTCATACAGCCTATCCAACACGTGCCTTAGTGGCGCCCTCTCGAGCCGTCGACACGGAGTGCGGCAGCCGTGAGCGCTCGCTGAGCTCACTACTAACTTTTAAAATAAAGCGAAATTCGAGAAAAGTCACTACGTTCAGTGCTCTCAAGTTGGGTGCAAATTAAAAAAACAGTAAAAAAGTTCTTGCAGGGTCCCTTTAGATGGTTTGAAGGGATATGAACCGGCCCACTCCCAGTGCACCCATCGGCCGAGCAATTAAACGGGGGACATACGTAGCCGCCCTATGACACAAAGGAGTAGCTCGGTGTTTTATTGCCCAGCGCCTGTGACCAGATCGGAACAACCCAACGAGCTTGTCGTGACCTTCACTGCATGCCTCAAGAGCACAACGGACGTATTTCAGAACCACTAGTCAAACCGCGGGACCTAAACACGTGTTCGTGTGAATAAGTCTCTTTGTGCATATTCGGTGACCAAGCCAGGCACGTAGCCAGGGGAGCGGCCCATGCCCCCCCCCCCCCCCCAAAAAAAAAAAAAAAATCTTCCATTTTGCTGGGGCCGGCTCTTCCCCCTCCCCCTCATACAGAATTTTGTCATGAGCGGGACCCCCCCCCCCCCCCCCCCCCGAAACAAAATCCTGGCTACGTGCCTGGACTAAGCTATAACACCCACACTTCGAAGTGCACCCCTTTTGAGTTCTTATTACAGCAGTGCTGTGAGGAGCTCGTTTCCCCAGGATCGTGTCCTCCGCAAAGAAATGAAGACACCGAACTCTGGACACCTACCGCCATCTATGAGCGACGGCGGTAAACCACGTATCTGGTTGCCGCCGTCGCTCATAGATGGCGGCAGCCTTCCCACTCTGGCTTTCCGACTTGCTGCCGGCCATTATTTTCCACTGTACAGCTCCGGTGGTCTTCCTTCTTCACCAAAGTGGAAAAGCTGAAGTTATTTTTTTTTTATATTTTAGAATGAAGCAAGGATGTAACGAGAACGGATCAAATGCGGCGGCCCCAGTCGAGAAGGACGATTTGAGGATGGTCTCCTTTCGAGAAGGTCCAGACGAGAAGGTCGAAACTAGAACAGGCTCGAGTGAGAACCACCCGGACCGAAAGCTGGCGCTGCAGAACCCAGGCATCCTGGGTTCAGTCCCCACCCTTGCCCGTTTTGATCTGGATGAGCATCGTACCGGCGTGCGGTCGTGTATCACTACTGCGTGACGCACGTTAAAGACCCCAGGCTAGGGGGTATACTGCACCCGCTAAATTGCTCATTAAACAAAAGAGACGGTGTTTGCTGCAGACATGACTAAAGTAACTGCGGGCGCGCCTCGGGCATGTTTTAAGCATGTTAGCTTCATTTGTACAGTTGGAGCATATCTGCAGACAGTTTCTGTGTGCCCAATCTGATAGGTCCTTCATACGAGTAAGGCCTCATACAATGTCTGCATACTGCATTTTGTATGATCTGTTAACGGTGTCACTGCGAGTTTAGCGGCAACTCGTGTCTTTAAAAAAAAAAAAATCTTACGAAACATTAAGAACATCTGGTTTGGTGTCGGCTTGTCACATATTCTCACGAATACGGTCTTCACCACTAAAACCGCATTAAAAAAGAAAATCTGGTTCTGCTTTTACCGCGAATGAAAATTAGAGTTAGACAGTTCGTTATGCACAAGAAAATCCATGAGCATGCAAAACACCTGTTAGATATTCTTTTCTTTCCACATTTCAAGCAACGGAGGGAGCGGGTATTGCACATACAGCTACTATTCTAGATGAAAGGTGCAATTCGTGTTTCTTGCTAGTTGCGCCATTTTACGCGACCGAAATGCGTGAGGGCGCGCGACTTCAGGAAAAAAACTGGCGGCAAAACAGGCACGCCACAACAAAACGTCGAGCTCTTCCCCGCAAAATTTGCTTTAGCATACGTGTTAAAGCTGGTGAAAGACGGTGAGCAGAGTCAAGGGTCCTAAGCTACAGTGAGAGCTGGATGTGTATTGGACCAATGGCACCAGAAAACGTAAACGCAATTTGTTCAGTGTTGAAGCATCGATTGAATGCGAATGCTGTGCCATCCCTGCGCTAGAAGCTGTCACCTGATCAGTGTGTCTTACGTGTATGACGTCCGGTTATATGGGCCGATAACGTACGTAATAATTATGGCGTGCGTGTGTTTTTACAGCCGGAAGTGAGTTAGCCCAATGGGCGTCTGGTGTCTTAGCTGTAGCATGATGTATGAGCAGTGTGACCCCGGTCATAACCTCCTCTATACTCACAAAGCCTGGCAGTTTGACAGCGGAGGCATAGAGTGCCCGGTCGCAAATTTAGAGCGCGAGGATCTGACGTAGCACAGAGCATCGAAGAGCCGTTTCTCGGAGAACCTGGACGTCAGCGCACAGCTTTTGCAGAGGCGAGGACACAAAACACACTTGTTCGCTCGGGAGAAGTGTGTTTCGGCGTCTCGCCGCAGCAGGGCGTCAGTCACGTGGCTCTCCTCTCATCTGTTGTCTGCCGCTCCAACTTTTCTCTTTCAGCGGCCGCTTCTCGTGGCATTCTGCCAGGCTTTGACAGTATATAGGAGGCTATGCCCCAGCTTAAGGGTGTTGGTGAGCTGGCTTAAAATGAACACCTTCATCGAAAGAGAGGCGGTAGATGGGCCGTCGCTGGGTTGTCCCCATTACGTCCCAACCTGAAGTGAAGAGTTGTGTATTTACGACAAGTGACTGTTTTATGCAGTTCAAACTGATGCTGGCCGAAGACGGAAGCGGCAAGGGTGCTGGCCTGGTGGCCGCTGTCGCCGACAGACTCCGGAAGGTGCGCAGAGGCAGCGCGCAGAACGGACTTTAGGCGCGGATCCCATCGATGGCCTTCCGGGATTCTGCGGTCTACGCTTCCAAGAACATAACGTGTACAAAGCATACAAAACAAGTTGAAACGATACACGCACTTGTCAACGAAAGATACTCGCTCAAACCGATGACCATTCAAGTCCTGCATATTATTATTATTATTATTTTAAGGAAGCTATATACATTGTCGGCTGCTACCCTGAAGACCGGTTCTGACATTTATGTTTTGAGTACGACCGACGACACTACGACCGCTTACGAACGCTCATGACGTGGTGTTATTACGTGTGGCTGTGGGAATTAAAGTCCGCACCGTACGTCGTAAACCTGCAACCATACGTTTCACATATCATAGAAGGGACAAGGTGTTTGTTGCAAAGGTGATGAAAGATTTATTTGTGGACATGTCTCGGACATCTTGCAAGCATGTCTGCTCTAAACATACAGATTGAGTCAAAGGAATCGATGGCTGTTTGAACGGACGGTATAAATTGGTTTATAAACGTATCAAGCTAAAGTTTTGCACAGAGCTACCTACGGAGGCCCTTTGCCTACGGAGGCCTCCCCCCCCCCCCCCCCCCCCCCCCACACACACACACACACACAAATTCTTTTACCGTACACCATTTTTTTCTTCTAATGGAAACGGGTTTGTGTGCGATAAAGCCAGATCCCATTATATTCGAGACAAAATAAAAAGAAATAAAGAGGAAAACTTCGCTGTGGTGATTCAGCGGTGTTGCTTTTTGGGAAAATAGAACTAGTATTCGATAGCTGATGACCCTGACGCGCTAGAAAGATTAAAAACAAGGAGTTATGTATTTTGCTGATAAAGTTAGGAGGTGCATTGCATCGACGAAGATGTGTCAGACGTGATAAATTGACACTTGTTTGCATAGAAAGGAAACAGCGACAAATGTCACCAATTGTCCGGTAATTTTTTTAAAACTTTTTTATAAAATATTTTTTTGTTGCAATTAAAACAAAATTCAAGTACATCGGCTCTGTATTTTATTGTGTCATTCACATTCTTTGATCACTCATTAGTGGTGCGCTTCGGCGGTTTTGACATACCGATCTTCGAGCATACGTGGTGAGGGAGGTGGAGGTGGCAGTGCCGGGAGAAATTAAAAGGTTGACTTTTTTGCTTTGACTTTACACGGAAAGAATAAAACAAACTCGGGACAAAGGAGGACGAGCATATCTTTGAGCCACAAACTCAGAAAGCGTAAATCGGAAGTGTCACAAGCGTCAGCTCAGTCCTATTACCTTATTGTCGTTCATGTCCGCATGTGCAATGACTGTTCCATGTTTCCAGATCATTAGAATTTTAAGAAGGTATATTAAGATGTTTGGCAGCGAAATCAGTCAATTACTCACCATCAACACAGTTGAAAGTAACCTGCATGCGACCTCACTTGGTTTTTTCCAAAGACGAGATCGACTGCTTGACTCCGGAACTAGCGTAGTTTCTCATCACTCCCCCTCAAACTGATTGTGCATTTTTTTTCTCGTATCATACAGTTTTTAATTACTTTTTCTTACAAATTTATTTTTACACTTTCCTTTCTCTTCTTTTTAATTTCCGGGTGAAATTGCATAGAAGGCTTTTAATAAAAGTGCATCCACCTGGTTTCGAGTTGAAGGATGTGTCGCCTTATCCCGAGTTTGTATTGTTTTTTCTGTGTCAAGTCAACTTTACCAACACGCTCAACAGTTAATATGACTTTTTTGTTGTTGTTTACCATCCTTTGTTTCTGGTTCGGAAATTGCGTAATCGATGGGAGCACTTTATCAAATGGTTATTGGAAGTATAAAGAGGCTGCTGCGACGATGAACTTTTGCTACAACGATTTCAAGCATCCAGAAACCTCTGAAACAGCTTTAGCTGGCGGTGCAGGTGGACGTCTTGTCAAAGGTAAGGACCGCACGTGTGCGCCATAAACTTGATAAGTTCACCTGGATACTATAATGGGAAACAGCTGAGAGTGTGTGCAAGTGGCACCAAACATAACCTTAAAGAACCCACTGGACACACAACCCTAAATCGAAAATAACCAAAACACGCGACAGGCGGCGGAGGACCGCGTCTGTGGAATTCTCTTGGTGGATTTGGAGAGATACAAAAGTTCTGCGTGGTCGCGCCTTTGGTGCTTGAGGTAGATGCGAGCGTGCGCTTGCACGCCCAAAAAGATACCAACGGAACAGCGTTCTGAAACCGCTCTACATCCACAAAGGGAATTTTTCCCAGTGGGAGCTCCAGATGACCAGTCAATTATTCCAGCATCGTAGTTCCGAAGCTGAGGCCCACCCGCACCAAGTGAAATGTTTGTCTTGCAACTAAGCAACCCAATGCGCTACAGACCCGGGCCTTGCCTCATACGGTCCTTGGAAGCAAATGGCGGCGCAGCACTCATTTGTGGCACGTGGCACTCTCATTGGCACGACAATCGTTGTCGGTACTCGTGACGCCCGAGTCCCACTATACTTCGTTTCACCTTATGTGCGAGCGAAGGCAAAGCTGCAAGCGCGAGCACGAAAGCTCCGTGCGTTAAGGCTTTGCTCGAGCGCGCGAGCTGGGGAGAAAAGTCAAAAGCGGTGGTCTCGCTCTTCTAGCTTTGGCTTCGCTCGCAGATAAGGTGAAATGAAGTATAGAGAGATAAACAGAATCTGCCGGCACGGAATAAGCCTCGAAGCACGAGAATCATACACGCGAGGGTATCTTTGGCGGGCTTGCAATCACTCGTGCTTACTTCGCGAATCACCGAGACAAGCCTGCCAATGGGTGCTTTCGTGTGTGCTTTGCTTAGGGTTATGACAGTCGTTGTTGTACCCGATGCCGACAGTACGCACTGTGAAGGAAGACACGAAGAAATAGCCGGTTACAAAATGCCGTCGTAGCACCGGGACATTCGTGTTTCGTATGTCGCGTGCGAAGCTGCTCCTTGTACCGGTCGCCACGCTTCACTGGAAGCACGGATGTTCCGGTGACTCGCGAGGTAAGCGGTCATAGACTATCGTAACGTAACGTAACGTAACGTAACGTAACGTAACGTAACCTTACGTAACGTAAGAAAACAGGGCTGTGTGAACCAGCCTTTGAACCACACAGAAGCATTTTATTTCCTAATTGTTTACTCATCATGCCATTATCATAAGAGTGAAATAAGTCTGAGAGGGCTATAATTGGCCATTTCCAGGAGATAACCCGCCGTCTATCTCAGAACCGTAAGTGAGTGGGGGATATTTGCACACTGGAGAATCCACGTTTCTACCAGTTTAAACTCACGAGAGCAAGCGCGAATAACGCGGCGTAAGCAGGTGCTGTGTGAACTAGCCTTTAGTGACCGCAGGCTAATGAATGATTTAGCTCATAATTTTACAGTGGAGCTGTTAAGTGCTAGATTCCCCAGTTTCGTCTCCGTGGGCAAATAAATCTCGACACAACGCTCTGGACAGCCCGCCATCTATGAGCAACGGCGGCAACCAGACAACTAGCCCAGCTTACTACCTTACTACAGACAACCGGGTTACCGGTTGTCTGGTTGCCGCCGTCGCTTATACGTGGGGCCACATAGTACGGCTACGCTGCTCTTCCTTCTTCACCAAAGTAAAAAGGCTGAAGGTTTTTGTTTTGTTTTTATGTTCACCGTTTGAACCGAATGACCGGTTAAGGATTTCAGCAGCTTCCTGGTTAAAAAAATGATCGGATATTTCCGCTGTCTTTGTTTTCTTATACCCACGAAAACAAACAAAACGTGGCAAAATACCGTCGAAAAAAAAACAAGAAATGCGGCTCGGCTGGTTCGGCTGGCTCGCCTGTGTCTTCTATAACTCAGTCTTAAGATGAAGAGAAAGTGGAAGTGTTGAGGGTGGCCATCATGCCAGGATGGGAGCAGTATTGCCGTCCACCCTGTGCGCCCTGTGGTTTTGCACGGCCATCGGACGACAACTGGGCCTCCAGAGCCGGCCCGCCCGTCTCGAGACCGAGCCTCCGTTCGTCTATTATGAGGACGGCGATGGCGATCCCGTGGTCATCTACGAGAGACGACCTGCCAGGGAAAAACCTGACAGCAGGTCCAACGGCTACCTGCTGGACATCACCAACAGGCACTTCTCTTACAACCGGAGCGTAGCGGGCAAGGTGAAAAACGCCCTGACCTGGAGCCGTCTGGTTGGACAGAAAAACTCCGGTCAGAAGACGGCCCACAGGACGCCACCGCAGCATACTCTCCAGACCAGAATCAACGTGGGCGCAAGCAGCACAACCGAAGCTCGCAGTAAAGTTCCACCGGTAGCAGAGATTTCTCGGGTCTCCAACGGCCCGAAAAGTTCGGGCGGCAAGCCTGTCCTTACGACTGCTGCAAAAAGGGAGTCTCCTATCAGCAAGTCGTACGCGCCAGGCAGGACATCGCCACATCAGAAGAGAACCTGGCGAACCACGCGCACTACCGGTAGCTGGCAGTTTGGGTACACAGCTCACTCGATGAAACGCCTCGACCCACGGAGCATCTTCCGTCTTGGACTGTTGCAGAGTCGGGACCGTCGTCAAGGTAGAACGTCGAAACGCGTTTTGGAGAACCGATGGACGCAACCGGCGGAAGAAGGACATGACCACTCCAGCGTCCAACCTGTTCCGTCAAATCGGGTCAAGCGAACTGTCTTATGTTTGCTCGTGGCCGGCGGTGTCTTCCTGATCACGCTTTTCTTTCTGGTGCCCGCAGCCCTCTGGGTTCGCAGTCAGTACCGGAGTTGCTCCGGTAAGTCGGAGCCGTACTACAGTACGCTCAGCGCTGACGACTCGGATACCAAACCAATAGTGTCTATCGCTAGCTTACCGCCGCACCGCAGAAACAGTTTGAACGACAACGCCAAGGTGGTGAGACCACGGGCCACCTTGGGCTTCTCGGTGTCCGAGCCGGTAATGTTTTCTCCGCAGAAGACGACAATTTCTGTTGACAGACCCGGCGGTTCCAGTGCCGCAGAGCCGTTTCGAAAGGACGGCTCCACAGCGGCGAGTTCGTATCCTGAACAGCGAATTACAGATGTCAGTCCGACTTTAGCAGACAGCGGAGACTCCAAAGTCAGCGTCTCCTCGGATGGACGTAGTCTTGACGTGACGGGCTCTGACAGCGCGCCCAAGCGCAGAAAGGTACTTCGCATTCAGGCGGAGAAAAAGCATCCAGATTTGCTGTCAAGGGACGCTGTGACCAAGGCGACTCTGGAGCCTCTAAACGCGCTGCCCCAAGAAGTCGCTCGAGGCGCCGGCATCACTGCGCCTCAAGACGGTACTCCTCGGGAGGAACCAGAGGCTCCGGGTCGGGATCGACGTCGCGATTCCGGTCAGGAGGACAGCCGACGAGGGCTCAAGGACTGGATGCCGAGCGAGTCGCCGAAGGCTGGGACATCCCGGGCCAGCGAAGACAAGCCACTGAGCAGCGCTAGCGAAGACTACCAGCAGTATTCGGATTCGGACGATGTACCACTCCAGATGGATCTGGGCACTGGCCCCCTACCTAGTAAGTCATCTCAACGGGGATGCGAAAAGTAGGCAAAAAAAAAAAGCGTCGCCATTAAATGGCGGCTGGGACAATACTGCTTGTCTTAAACTCGGGTTGCAATGATTGCTTTGAGAACAACTGAATGACTTACAACTTAGACAGAACTGAAGCTGAGGCATCTGCCAAGGTAGCTGGCAGTAAAGAAGAACTGGAGGCTGTAATGCCAGCCTCCGGCCCTTCGTGGTTAAGGTAAATTCAGCTCGCAGAAAGACGAAGACGGAGAAAAGAACACAGGACGACCGCTAAACTAACTACTCAACTTTCATTTAAAAAACTTGGCTCAGTTTTACTTTGAGTCGTTTTTTTTATGTAAATGTTGAGCTGATAGCTTAGCGCTCGTCCTGTGTTCTCTTTTTCTTCGTCTTTCTGTGCGTTGTATTTACCTTATCTATAGAAGCTCCGCCTTCAGCGCAAGTTCGCTGGCTTCCGCACTGCTTTGG